GATAGCAAAGGTCCCATTCAGACTCGGGGGTCTAGGATTCCAAAGGGAGTGTAAGGAGTAATGAGGGGCCAGGAAGGGAGGGAGGAAAGGAGGGAGAGCCAAGCACATCTATAATTTACCTCCCCTCCTGGGAGCAGAGTGCTGAGGCTGGGAGGGGGGCAGCGGGGCGGGGCCCTGGGCGCCATCACCATGGAAACACCAGGAGATGCAGGGCCCGCCACGATGCCAGGCGCCTGAAAAATTCAAGCTACAAACAAAAATACCCAGATCCAGACTGCTCTTTGGGCAGGAGAGGGAAGAGCACATTCTGAATTAAAAGGAAGAAAAAAACATCGGCCACTGCCGCCCACCACCCTGGCTCCGTCACCCTCGTCCAAAGGTGCATGCCGGCAGGGGAGTGAATCATTGCCCATTTCTCTGACAGGGACTTCTCCAGGATGGCAGCTCATTCCCAGCAAAGAGTCCATTAGTGGCAATTGGGGTGGGGGGGGGGGCATGGTGAGGCTTTTATTCTGGAATGGCAAGCCCAACCCACACCCCCCTCCCCTGGCTCAGGAGCATGAATGATTCTGAACTGCTCAAGGCTGCCACAGAAGGAGCACCAGGTTTTATGTCAAAGGACCGAGGTTCAAATCCCAGCTCTGGCTCTTCTAAGCAGCGTGACCTTTAATATGTCCCCTTACTGAGGCCTCTGGCTCTCACTTCCTCATGTTTTTCAATTCAACAGACATGAGACACTGGGAATGAGACAGAAACAATACAGGGATTCTACTGGAGGGTGGGGTGGGGTGGTACAAACACTCAGACACTTAGCCAGTAATCTGAGGAGAGGGCAAGCATGAACCCCTGGAGCAGGTCGGGGGAGGATCTGCAGAAGACACGGCCCCTGAACTAATCCTTGGAGGAGAAATGGGGATTCTGAAAGAAGGAGATGAAGAGGAAGAGCGCTGTAGGCTGGGGGAATGCTGGAGGTGGGAGATAGAGCCTCCAGTTACTTCAGGAGCACCGAGAAACAAGGATGGAAAAGCAGTCTGGAGGCAGATCTGGATGCTGGGCAGGTGATGCGCTCAGACCTGGGATTTTGAAAAATCTCCTTTGAACCAGGAGAGACGGGAGACAGTGAGACCGGTTTTGTGGTGGCTATAATAGTCCAGGCAGTCTAAATGATGAGGTCCTGGAGTACAGCCGTGGGTGTGTGAATGGAGAAAAGGGGACACACACAAGAAATGTTGGGAAGGTCTGGATAAGTGAGGAGGACACTGAGGTTGTGAGCCCGGGGCGTGGAGAGGATGGGGGGTACCCTCCACTGAAATGGGGAACTTTGCAAACGGGAAGGGGTGGGCTCTGTTTGGCGCCTGCTGAGCCAGAAATGCCTACGGGATATCCTCTGTGGGGCTGTTTTTGGAGCTGGGAGGAACCCAGCCAGGCTGGTCACAGGAAAGCCCTCAGAATCTGGAGTCAAGGGACCTGGGCCCCACGTCTAATTCAATGCATAGTAGCTACAAGTCCCTTACACCTGTCTGAGCCTCCGGTTTCTAATTTCTAAAAGAGACAGGATAATTGCAACAGCTACCTCTCTGGGGGATGATGTGGAAAGCACAATAAAAACGGGAGCTCCTCTCATCCAGCCCAGCCCCCTTGTTTTACAGAGGATGAAATGGAGGCCCCCAGAGACTAAGTCCTTCTCAGCAGATCACAGAGCTAACAGTTCTCCAAGTACAACGCTCTTTCTGCTGTGTCGTTTGCATGGGCTGCAGGCCCCTGCTGATTAGGGAGCAGAGGTTTATTAGGGAAGGCTTCCAGAGAAGGGGCCATGAGAATTGGGCTTCAAAGGTGGGGGTTGGGACGGGAATGGGGGGCAGTGGGGGAGAGAGCAGCAGTGTATGCTGTGGGGAGGCATCAGGGCCCCGGGCTCAGTCCTAGCTCTACCTGGGTGACCCTGGGCAAGTCAGCTCACCTTCAGTGAAATGAAGGTGCCTCAGCCACTTCTAAACCTGAGCTCCCATGATTCTTCCCCAGTCTGGGAGTCTGTTTCTAGGGTCTTGGCAACTCTTCGAATCTAAGAACTCCAGGATTGGAGGCTAGAAAGTGGAAAGAGAGATCCCACCTACCCACCCTGGTTTCTATTAATTAGTCAGGTCCTAGAAAGGGGGTGGGAAAGAGGAGGAACCTTTTCTGGGAGGAAAAAATCATTCCCCAAGGCAGCTGAAATTTCTCTCCAAACTTCAAAGGATAATAAATTATTCAGGCTGCTCAGGACCCAGTGTCTGGGCTTCCTCTGAAGGCCTGATTTCACGCTGCCTGCTGACTCCATCAACACAATCAGAGACGTTTCTGCCTGGTGTGGTGCCCAGCCTGGGGCTGAGACCCCTGGCCCAGCACTATCTCCTTCCCTCTCCCCTGCTCTCCTCTCCCCCAATGAAGCCAACATCCCCTCAGAGGAAATTGAGACATGGAGAGAAACTGCCTTTCTTCCCTGCTCTCTCCCTCCTGTGCACTAGGGCTGTGCTGATCTCCAGAACAGCCCTATCCTGTCCCTCTGCCCCCCTCCTTTGGACCAGGGTCTTTGCACTGCTACTACCACTGCCACTATGACTACTACCACTACCATACCACTGCCACTACCACTGCCATACAAACTACCACCTAAATAACCAGGATACAATGATCCTCTGCATTTTGGTATTTACAAAGCTCTTTCCTCAGACAAGCCCCAGTGGGGAGGGAATATGATTGTCAGGAGGACCTTTGAAAGATGAGGAATCTGAGACCCACAGAGGTGAGATCGGTTGTCCAAGACCACACAGCCAGTAACTGTCAAAGTCAGGGTCAGAACGCAGGTCTCCTGACATATGGAACTTTCCCCAAAGGCCTTCTCCAGCCTTCTTCAGCAGGGGCAGGGGGGGAGGAGAGAAAGGACATTTCCCAGACCCTATCGGCATTAAGCTCTCACCTAGGAGCTACAGTTGCCTGGTTCTGTTCCCTGCTCTTCCACTGACTAGCTTTGTGACTTTGGGTCACTCCTCTCCCCTCTTAGAAATTCAGGTTTTCCCATCTGCAAAGTGAAGGGAGTGGACTCTGGGATCTCCAAGGGACTATCTGGCATTAACAATATCTACGTTTAAATACTGAAAGATCATTATTTTTTATTTTGGTGGCCCTGTGATCGTACTGCTAAGAGTACTCGCTTGGCCGGTGCAGACAGCAACATCTCCTCATCTTGCCCATTCCCTTCCATGGGTCCTTCTCAGAAGATCTCGTGCCCAGGAGGGCTTTTTCTGGGCATCTGAGTGCTTCATGGGCAGTATGCTGTCTACTGGACCTTGGCCCTGGCCTCTGTGGCCAGCCTACCCCTTTTTCCCAGTCACATTTCTCAACACCAATGCCAACGCACATACCAGTTACCTGGTAACACCTCAGCCAACTTGTACCTACCACATATGTGGTTGTTATCAATAATAACTAAATTGGGGCAGTAGAAGATAAAGGGGGAAAGAAAGGATGAAAAAGAAAGCAGGGAATTTGGACTGGAAGCCAGTCCAACCCTTATCGGAATAGTTAAGATGGTTCTCTGGCCTTCAGGAGAAGGCCCTCTAGTGAGGAGCTAACACGTCAATCACAGCAAACATGCACATAGCATCACCTCACTGGTGATCCCCACCAAAGGAGGCACCGTGGAAAAGGGGCTGGATTTGAAGCCAGAGGACGTGGGTCTGAACACTACCTTTGTGACTCCTTAATTGTGTGGCCCCTAGCTAGGCTTCAGTTTCCTCGTCTGTAAAAGGAGAAGGTTGGGATTTGATGACCTCTCTGGTCTGTCAGGCCTCTGATCTTATGGACAACTTTGTAAAACAGGTAGTTAAGCTACTACTCTCACTCTTACTCCTACCACTACTCCTACCACTACCACTACCACCACTACCACTACTATTACTATAACTAATAATAATAATAATAATAACTGGCATTTATGTAGCACCATAAGGTTTGCAAAGTATATATTATAGATATTATCTCATTTGAGACTCATAATAACCCTGAAAGGTAGGGGCTATTATTCTCCCCATTTTACAGATGAGAAAACTGAGGCCATGAAAAGTTCAAGGACTTGCTTAGGGTCACACAGCTAACTGTCTGAAGCAGAATTTGAACTCAAGTCTTCCTGAGACTCCAACTCAAGTGTGACACCTTTCTATCCTGAGCCTCGCAGAGAATCTAAACTCCTCAAGGGCAGGACATATTTCATTTTTGTCTCAGTGCCTCCGGGGCCTGGTAGACATTAGATAGTTAATAAATGCTTGTTGAACTGAGGCTAAGGGCTGAAAGGAAGCCCAGAGGGCATCTTGTTCAAACCATATCTGAAAAAGAATCTCTCTGCAATATCTTCCCCACCCCCACCTCCCCAAGACCTCCAGTGAAATAACCCAATGCTTCCATCTGGTGAGCTGCTGACTGAGTATCACAGACCTCCCCTAGCTTTAGTCTCCAAAGCTTCCCATTACCTTAGGCTCCACTGCTAAGGCTCTGCCCTTGTCCTATCAGGTGTGAGGGAACTTGGGGTAAAGGGGGGATGTAAGACCCTGCAGTGGAAAGGGACAGAAGGAGAGAGAGAGAGGGAGACAGACTGAGAGAGAGAGAGACAGAGAGAGAGGGAGGGAGAGAGGGAGAGAGGGAGAGAGAGGGAGAGGGGGAGAGAGAGAGAGAGAGATAAGAGGTAGAAAAAGAAAAGGGGAAAGAGCATGGAAGAGAGAAAGGGGAGAAAGACAGAGAGAAGAGGAGAGAGGAGATAGAGGAAGAGATAAAGGGGAGAGCCAGTAACAGAAAGGACTGAAAGGAGAGGAAAGAGAAGCATGGAGCCCCAGATCCCCTCAAAAAGGGGCTATCTGCCTGGTCTACTCTACTGGAAAAGTCGAGCCCTCACCCCAAATACAGGCATGGATGCCCACATAGATACTATCACGTTTCCCAATGCATGCACAGTGGGCCCAGAAGCCTCTTACCTTCAGCCAGACAGCCCAGAAGCAGGGCCATGAGGAGACCCAAGAGGCTGATGACCAAGGACATGCCAGGGCAACGGGTGGGCCTCATCCTCGGCAGCAAGCTCTGACCTCCGACCTCGAGAGGCAACGGCCCCTTCAGCCCCTACGTTGCAAGACCCTGAGCCGACCTTCAGACGGGGCAGCGTCTACAAAAACAAACAATACGGTAGGGGTCAGAAGAAGGAAAGAATGTGGCGGCCGTGGGAGAATGGGGAAGGATTCATGGCTTCAAACCCAGTGTAGGTTCAGTCCTGTGCTAGGGCCTGTAAGGGAAGAGAGGGAGAGGAGATTTGACCTCCACCCTCCCGGAGCTCTGGATGGATGGGGAGAAGGGATTCGTAAACACACAGAGAGCTGCTCCTGACTCTTCCCTCTCCCCCCATGCAATCAGCTGCCAAACCCTGCTGACCCACACACTGCTTAGATTTTGGAAGGTCTGAGGATCACAGATTTAGTGCTTTGAAAGGACCTCAGAGGTTACTGACTCCAACCCCATCATTTACACAGGAAAAAAATAGGCCAAGCAAGGAACATGAAATGACCCATCCCGGGTCATGAAGGGAGTAAAGGACAGAAGGACCCTGCCCTAGGACTTCAAATTGGCCATCCTTTCCTCTGCACCCATGCCACTTGTGCAAGGAGAACTGGAAAAGAGATCAGACATGGGAAGGGCAGCGAGGGGCCTACTGCAAGAGATGGGGCAGGAAGGGATAAAGTCTGGGCAAAGGTAGGTGAATCTCAGTCTCTCTCTCTCTCTCTCTCTCTCTCTCTCTCTCACACACACACACACACACACACACACACACATGCACACACACACACAGACACACACACACACACACACACACACACACACACACACACACATCTGGGCCTACAACCCTGGACAGAAGGACTACCCTTCAGGAAACTACCCCCAAGGCTCTGGGGCTCGGTCCAGACCACAGGGTAGGGCACCCAGGGCAGGGCAGGGTAAAGCAGAATCTCAAAGAGTACTTCCCAAAGCCAAAATAGGAAATTTGACTGGGTGAGGACCCAAAGAGTAGTAGTCTGGCAGCAGGGAAGCCACACCCTATCTCCTACCACCGATCTGCAGAGTCCAGGAGCCTGGCTTGAGATCCAAGGATGCAGAAACCCCAACTCAGAGACCCACCCAAGATCCAGGATCAGGGAAGGGGCTGGCCTTCGGTCTCACTCCCCCATCCCCAGCCTGCATCCCAGAGGGATGTGGACGTGTCCTACACTGAGCTGAGAACAGCCTCCTCACTCCGGAACCCAATTCCCAGCTATCTGGTTGTGCTGAGGAGGCCAAGGTCATGGCCCTGACCTCCATGGGAGTCTGATAAGTCCGCTCTATTCCTAGACACGGTGCTGAGTGAGGGAGACAGCATGGTTGGACAGATAACAGCTTGCCTCGCTGCAGCCTGAGCCCAGATCCTAGCCTGAGCCCCCACCCTGCCCCTGGACCCTAGCTGGCCTTGGTACCTAGAAGGGCCGGGCTTTAGGTATCAGTGGCTCAGGTCAGCCCATCACCACGCTTCCTCACTGCCCATTCTCTCTTACACTGAGTCTGCTGACTGAGGGGCTGGGGTGTCACACTGTCACTTTCTCTACGGAGAATAGTCCACAACTAGACATAACACGTAACAGTTGCCAAAGGATGCCACACAAATGCTCAGACAGATGGACAGAAAGACTGGGCCCAGAGTAGGTGGAGCCCACGGGGTGTGGGAGTGAGGCTGCCGGCTGCTCACCTAATAGCCCCTGCCCCGAACAACAGTGTGTACCCAGCCCCTATTGTGGGGCCCGCCTTGTGCTCAGACAGGCAGGGAGCAGACCAGGTCCCTGCCCTCAGGAGCTCCCCATCTGGCTGGAGAGACAAGGTTTGCCCAGGAAATGCTTGGAGAACCATTTAAGACAGGATCAAACTGAGTGCTGGGCCATGGTGCTGACTTAGGTCCCCAAAGCCAGGGCAGGCGCTAGGCACTCAGTCTGGATGATGGAAACAGGCTTGGCCCTTGACCCGAGCCACTGGCCACTGCCAGTTTTCCTTGTTCTGCTTCTGACCCTTGCCACTCCCCCCTTCTACCCCCTTGATATGGGCAGGCCCTTGGGCTGCCTCTTCCTTTCTCCATCTATACTCTCTCCATTGGTGTTGTCATCTGTTGCTGTGGCTTCCACTCACATGTCTACGTGGCTGACTCCTAATTCTAAACCTCTAAGCCAGACCTTTCACCTAAGTGCCAGATCCAGGTTCAGAATCCCAGAATTCTGATATCCAGAGGGGCCCCAAAGACCATCTGGCTCAACTCACAGTGTGCACAGAAAGCCCCTCGAGAGTCTCCCCAACAAGTGGTCATGCAGCCTTCCCCTGGAAACCCTTGGGGAGGAGCGGCTCTCTGCTTTCTGAGGAAGCCTAAATCACCTTTCAAAGGCTCCAACTGTTAGGAAGTTTTTCTCAATGCCAATTCAAAATCATCCTCTGCTGCCTTCTACCCACTGTTCCTCGTTCTGTCCTATGGTCCCAAAGAGAACAAGCCCATTTTCTAGTGACAACCCTTCAAATAACTGGACTACCATGCACCCCCACCCCCACTCCACCCAGTTTTCTCTTCACCAGGTAAAACAACCCCCATCGTTTTAACTGGTCCTCAAATGGCATGGTCTTTAATAAACTCTGCCATCTTGGGCTCCCTCCTCTGGCTGTGCTCCAGTTTGCCAACGCTGTCTCCTAGAATGTGGTTCCAGAATGGAACCCAAGTATTTCAGATGCCATCTGCACAGGATGGAGGGAGCACAAAGGAGTCTGACCTACCGTGTTCTGGGCCTCCTCCTATAATGGTTCTCTTGGCCATTGTGACACACGGCTGATTTATGCTGAGCTTTAAGTCCATTAAAAATTCCCAAGCTTTTTCCTCATCAATTATTGCCTAAACATGAGTCCCCCACCCATGGTATGCTTATGCAATTATTTTCAAACCAAATTTAGGATTTTATATTTATCTCTATAAAAGGTCATCTTTAATTAGACTTCTTCCAGGCTGCTAAGATATTTTTTTCAGATACTGATTCTGTCAACCAATATATTAGCTATTGGCCCCAGCTTCACATCTTCTCCAAATCTGATGAGCATGTCATCTGATTTCATCCAGGTCATGAACAAAAATACCGAACAGAATGGGACCAAGGATAGATTCCTGGGGTACTGCATTAGAGACCCATATCCACTTTTACATTGGTCCATTACTCACTATTGTCGCTTAGTTATTCAATTTGTTCTGAATCCACTCAACTGTACCCTCTATCCAACCCATACCTTGTTTGCAAGGAGATTGTGAAGGTCCGTCAACCCTCACATCTTGGCTTCTATACCAGGAATCCATGAACTTTTAAAAAAAAATCTCAGTAACTGTATTTTAATACAATTTCATTTAATTTTATGTGTTTAACACATTATTCTGAGAAAGGGTCCTTTGGCCTCACCAGACTGACAGTGCCAAATGGGTCCATGACACAAAGATTAAGAACCCTCGGCTTAAACCTAAGTATGCTGTCCATGGGGTGACCTTGCACCAACAATCAACTTCTCAACAAGAAATAAAAAGGAAGAAGAGGTTAGCCTGGCAAGATCTGGCCTTTATTAACCGATGCTGGTTCTTAGTGATTGAACCTTCTAGAGGCACACAATCTCTATCTTTAATAAGACACATTTTAGAATTTTCCCAGATGCTTTCTAAAGGCGGGAAGAGGAAACATTAAACTCACTGGTCTGTATTTGGAGAATGCACCTTCTACCTGCTTATTGGATTTTTATTTCCTGTAAATGGGTGAGCAGCTCTGATAGATGAGGTGCTCTCACTGATGACCAAGTAACTAAGTGAGCCGAAGGTGGGGTGGGCATGCCTGGATCCACTTCATAACCAATTCACCTCAGAAAGCCCATCAGCCCACTCATGAACTGACCTCTCCCCACCCACCCTCTGGATTTCAGTTCCAAAATTAAACTGGTTGCGGGTTTTGGTTCAGTACTGATGCATCACAGCTGGGCAGGGCCCAGCAAAGGTTTATTTTTCTCCCCTAAATCATGGGGTGATTAGTCTAATGAGAAGGCTTTGGGGGCAGCTGGAAATGAACAGGAACAAAAAGGCAACCTTGTCTAAAAAAATAAAATAGGCTAATTGTAATTCAGGACAGGTGGAGAAGCAAAACATAGAAGAATCATGCAGCAGAAAAGGACCTCAGATGATCAAACACAGAATATCAGATCTGGAAAGGCCCTAAGAACACGGAATTTCAGACCTGGGATGGCCCTTAGAATATGGAATTTCAGAGGGGCAGCTAAGTGGTGCAGTGGACAGATCACTGGCCCTGGAGTCAGGAGGACCTGAGTTCAAATCCAGCCTCAGACACATAACACTCGCTAGCTACGTGACTCTGCGCAAGTCACTTAACCCCAATCACCTCACCAAAAAAAAAAAAAAAAAAGGAATTTCAGAGCTGGAATGGCCCTTAGAACATGGAATTTCAGAGCTGGGAAGGACTGTAAACCATCTAGCTCAAACCTCTCATTTTACAGAGATGGAAACTGAAGCTCAGAGAAAGGAAGTATCTCACCCTAAGACATGCAAGAAGCAAGGAGTGTGGTCAAGACTAGAATCCAGGTCTCCTGATCGTCCACGTGGAGCTCACCCTAGCACACCACACCATTTCCCCATCCTTCTCTGCTTTCAACCCTCTTCCTGATACTGCCATCCCCATTCCCCACCCCTCCCCCCTCAGCCCCCCCCCACCCCAGACTCAGTTCCTTACCCAGGGCTGAGCAGCCAGCAGCCATTAGTCAATGACTTGAAGATAATGATAAATTCCTGATAGCGAATGGCCTTGCTCCAGCATCTCATTAAGATTTTTGATGCTGGTGTCCCTTCCCCTTGTAGCCGGCTGGAGGCCCGATGGGTAGCATCTATGAGCCGGGTCTGGGCACTGGGCCCCAGGCTCCTTGAAGCCGACAGGGGCCCTGGAATTACCAGCATGCCTGCTCATTCCTTTTTCCTCAAGCAAGCAAGACAGCATCCAGCCAGAGAATATGCATCCCCTTATCTCACCACCCACATCCATTTGCATAATTTTAATCTTTCTCACCAATGAG